CTCTTTCATGTGCACTCAATAAAACAGGATGGTTAATGGAGTTGAGCAACCTGTACACCAAAAAAGCAAAGAAAAAGTCTTATCACATATTAAAATCGAACAAGAGGAATGGGTAATATGCAACAAACATAGAACTTATTTGATTTGTTAGAGTTTGAAATAAGATGATGCAACTCAAATGGTAGCAATAGTTTCTTCTCCTGGCATAAGGACTCTGACCAAGTTGCAAAAACAAAAACTGTTGATATCATGAGCAAAAGATGGTTTGAATGTCGAATCAACTACTTCAGCCAATTTCGCTTTCCTACCAATGATATAAATGGTTGTTCTACCTATGTCACCATGTGTACGTTTTAGTGTTTGACGAAAATATGTCATCCCGTGCAATATATTCCTATAATAGAAAACAAAAAGAAAATTAGTATCCCTAAGATAGAAAACAAAAAGTAAATTAATGATCATTTTACAAAATTAATAATAGAAATAAGAGAAGAGAGATGCACTCACAATAGAATGCCCCTAAAAGAAGGGGTTAAACGATTGAGATAATCAACGAGAGGATCGTGTTGTGTCCAATCCTCTAGTGTTTGATCAACTATTTCAGTAAATAGTAATCAATGTGTTTGGTTTGAGTTTTTTAGATTAAGTTTTTTGAAAATTGAGTTTTTTAGTTTTCGTATTTTTTTGTTTTTAGTGAATATTTTTGAAATTTTAAACATTTTTTTTACTTTTTTAGATGCACCTTACTTAGATGTATTTAAAAAGTAAAAAATTTGTGAAAAAATATTTTAAAAAAATAATAAATACATAAAAATACAAAAAAAATGTACTGAATTTTTGTATTTTTTGGCATTTTTGGTATTTAGTAGATTTTTAAAGGGTTTTTTTCACAATTTTTTTTTACTTTTTAGGTATATTTATGTTAGGTATGTCTAAAAAGTAAAAAAAAAAAATTGCTTAAAATATTAAAAAAATTCAGTAAAAACAAAAAAACACGGAAAATAAAAAAGTAGAATTTTTTGAAAAGTGTTTTTAGAAAAATGGAACCAAGCAAGTTGAATAGTTTTCCATCTACTGCGTAGGTTGACTTGCCCAGCATTCTAAGCAAATAGGGATTAGTGTGCCCCATTCCAAATTGATACCAATAACGGATATCCTTGTCGGGATGATTATAATAAACAGCTAGAATATTACCCTCCAGTGTTTTTTTATATAAATTTATACTATTGAGAATATACATCCCTTCATAAAATTCCAAATCAGGCTAGAGACTAAATTAAATTAAAAAAATACAAAGATAATAAATAAGTTAGCTAGACATCTAGATAACAACATGAATGACCTATGAAGCACGGGTACTCCAAAAATAGTACCGTACACGTACCGGGTACTTACCTGGTGCGGGTACGCGTACCGGTATGGCTGCACGCATACCGGGTACGGCAAAAAGTAGTCGGGTACATCTGTCTCTGTTGGGTACAGCATGGGTACATCTTTGGTGCGTTTTGGGTACGGCGGGGGCAGAAATCAATTTTTCTGGAAAGTTGAGGGGTATCAGAGCAATATTAAGAAAAATTTTAAAAAAGAAAAGAAAAATTGATATATACAAATGATTTTGTTTTGCCCTAATCGTATCACTCTTGCCCTAATCTCATCAGTTGAGCAACACAGCACCAAGAGGCGACATCAAAGCAGAGAGGTGACGGCGACCCAGCCATTCCCTTCCGGTGACGGCGACGCAAGGAGTTCCGGTGAGTCTTCTTCTTCCTCTTCTTCTTCTTCTTCGTCTTCATCTTCTTCTTCGCCTTCTTCTTCGCCTTCTTCTTCGCTGTTTCATCTTCATCTCATTTTTTCTTCTTCGACCCACCCTCATCTTCTTCGTTTCTTCTTCTTCATCTCATTTTTGTTTGTGCAGAGATCAGCAACCAAGCATCTATCAACAAGCATCTATTTTCGTCCCCTGCATATCAGCCATACCTAGCAACCAAGCAACTGGTTAAAATCTCTTCATCTTTATTTTTTTTGTTTTTTTTCTGGTTTCTTCTTTCTTCTTCAGAGAGGTATAATCTGATGTAGAACCAAAAAAAAAATTAGAGAGGTATAGAACCAAGTTATTCAATCATATTTAGAACCAAAAAAAAAAAAAAAATTAGATCAAAAAAATTAATAAATTAGAACACAAAAATTAATAATCAATCATACTTATATAATGTTAATAATCAAAAAAATTAATTAGAACAAAATTAATAATCAATCATACTTTTTAGTTTTGATATTTAATTTCAATTTGTAGGTTGGATCTTTTAAACATAATTATAAAAAATAAAAAAATATAAAAAAAAATATTGGCGTACCGCAGCCGTACCCGTATCCTACTTTTTTGGGGTTTTGCCGTATTGGCGTACCCGCACTCATATCCGCACCCGTGCTTCTTAGTGAATAACTCTTTTTTGAAATGTTAGAACAAAATTAATTGACGAGATTATTTCATTTTTATCCTTATACTTTGTTACGTTTTTCAAATACCCCCCCCAAATTACTATTTTTCACGCGTAACCCTATACTATGTGAATTCCTTTCAATTTTACCCCTGCCGTCTATTTCCGTCAAGGAAGTGGACAGAATGGGTGACGTGGCCCCCTATACTTTCACATGGAGGGAAAATTAAACGACTTGGCTGATCACAATCAAGTTACATACATTAAGGGTGCTTAGAACTCCCCAAATCGCAATTAGGGTTTTTAATTTGCTCTCAAAATTCCAAAATCAAAGCTGCGAGTGAACAACGACTGTGAAATCACATTGAAATCAAAGGTTCAACGTTGGGATGGGTGCTAAGAGAGAAGAATAATGGTGGAGGAAGACAAACACCTGTATATGGTATGTATGTTTTTTTTAAGTTATTTTTTGTTGTTGTTGGGAATCGCATGTGTTTGATGTTAATATTGTTTTAGAATGGTCAAATCTTTGTTTATTTGTATGTGACATGGATTTGTTAATGAAATTTGTTTATGTTTGTTTCGGTTTGAACAGTTTTACTTTAAGAAAATCTTTGTTTATGTTTGTTTGAAATTGATGAACACATATGAAATCTTTGTTTTTTTGGTTGTTTGTATTTCACATGGATTTTAGTTGTTTCCATATCAAGACCACTCCAAACCAAAATAATTAATTTTTTTCCACTTTTGTTAGGCATATACCATTGTAACCAAGAAATTATATCTTATTACCTTTTCTGCCATTTTGTGTTTTGTTGTTTGGGGTTTTTTGCTATTTGAGGTAGTGTTATTTGCTTATATTTCCATGCTTAGAAAGAACTTTTCTTTTTTTGTTTTGTAATTAAAATCATGAGTAACGTTATTAATGAAAATTCATGAAAAAGGCTATTTTGGGAAACAGAAAAAATGGTAAGACGATAAAACCCATCCTCTGTTTCACACAGCTGAAGCCAACATAGCGCGCTGAACTATCTAACGAAAAGAAATCGTACTTTGCTAGTCATACCAGCCGATCAGACCTCACTTGCCCTTCTCATTTGCTTCTCCCTCAATTCTCAATCCTCATGAAGATCCAAGGGATTTGAGGACAATTTGACAAGTAGTGAAACAAGAAGGCAGAAGGTTTGGTTGGGCAGCAAAGCAGTGACAATTAGAGTTCGAAATCACTGAACCCTAGATCTAGAAGAAGACGAGGGATTCGAGTTGTTTCTTCTAACAAACATGTATTTTCTTTTATTCCAAGACGCAAACACATGCACTTGCTTCTGATTATGATTATTCTTGTCATTAATTTGTTTTCCCTTTGCTAATTTTATCTTTAAATGGCTTGCTTAAGTTTTATTGTTTTTATCTTTAAATGACTTGCTTGAGTTGTATTGATTCGAGTAGTTCCTTGTAAATGACTTACTGAATTTTTATTGCTTTTGGGAGGTGTGATTTTGATTAGTTTGTAGTAAATTTGTAATTTTTCTTTTCTTTCCTCTATCGATTTGAGTTGTTCTTTCTAACAAACATGTATTTTCTTGCTCCTGTTGCTTGCTTCTAATTGTAATTACAGTTGTCATTAGTTTGTTTTCCCTTTGCTAATTTTCTTGTTAAATGAATTTTATTGCTTTCAAGAGGTGCAATTTTCGATTAGTCTGTAGTAAGTTTATATTGTTTCTTTTCTTCTCTCTCCCCTACTATTTGATGCAATTAAATTGTCAAATTAGAGCTGTGGAAAATAAACTAATGACCTTGAACTAGGAAAAACTTCACAAAGTTGCAAAATTATTTTTGTTAACTTTCTTATCTTTCCAATAAACGTATCTCGCACTAAGTTGATGAAGATATTATAATTTGAAACTGTAGAAAATGGGGTACCACCTTACCTGAGTCTAAAATGAAGATTAAGGGTTGTTTTGGGAATAGGCTATTTTAGTAACTCTTTGGCTAAAATATAAGGTGAAAAAAGTTAGTATGTTTGGGATGATTTTTTGGCATTTTGCCAAAAAAAGTGTAAAAAAGTAGAGAATAAAGGGAATCTTTCACTTTTTGGTATAGTTCTTTGGCTTTTTGGCCTTTTTAGTGAATTTTTAGCTTTTTGACTATTTTTTGAAGTTCCCAAACTTAACCTAAGTTTTCCAAAGCCAAAAAGAGAGTGCAGTGTTCAAATCCCAGCTAGGGCATGAATGTTTATAAAGTTTATCCAAACTAATGAAGCATAAAAGAAAAAAATAACAATAATAAGTAGACAATATAGGTTTACTATTTTGGTTAGTTGGTTTAAGATTTTTTATTTGTATGTGTTTCTTTTCCATCTGTATTTCATTTTTGTACCAAAGATATCTTCATGTCCAGAAGACTTCTAGTTTTTTATTCCCTAGATCATTTGTCAAATTTTTACAGTATTCTCTACATTTTTGTAGGATTGCTTCTTCTTCTAAAATGAAAGAACTGAAGAATGACATTCCATTTCTTCCCGGGAAATCTTTTTCCAGATTCTTATTTTCCTTCCTGCAGAGTTTCTGCATAACTGTGGGAGATGTGTGCAAGGCTTGGGCAAAAATTATATCTAACTCTTCTTTTATCAAAGCACACCTCCTTCAATCAAAAGGTGGTTTGTTCATCCAGAAGTTTGGTATGCCATATAATTCTGGTTACCTTGAGCTTAATGAGGGAGACTTCAAAATGAAACACCTAGATTGTTCTGGACAAATGGTCTCTAGTTGTGGGGGTGTATCACTGTTTTGTAGCTCACATCCTAAAAGATTTCTTTGTGTTGGGAATCATGTGACAATGCAGTATAAAAGCTTACCTTTTGCGATTGTGGAGGAGGAGCTTTTCCCCTCTTGTCATATTGCTTTCATTTCTTGCACTGGGGAGTACGAGGTGTTATGCCATTGTGTAAACTTGAGTGGAGAACATAGATGGCTTGTATTGTCCGTGGGTAATAACATGTCATGGAGAAAACTTGAGACTTCACTAAAAGGAAATGATCTTGATCCTGGGATTGTAACTTGAGTCTCTGTTGGAGGGGTTATTTGTTGGTCCCAAAGGAGCACAAATATTTTTGCTATTGACCTTTATGATGAAACTTCTCACTCCATTCAAGTTCCAACTGGATTTGTTGGGAGTTTTTATTGGCTCCCTGAGCGAATAGTTTATCTTGTGTTGTGAACCATCTGGAAGAGGTTTATGTATGCATATTGAAGGACTTACGTTGCAATGAATGGGTTAAACTTTACAAGTTCAAAGAAGTAATAGATGGACAAAAAATTTTATATGATACTTCTGCACCTGTTGGTTGGTTGGATCATGGCCAATCCTTGGTCTTCATTATTGAGAAGATATAAAAAGTTGGTTGTGGTTTACAATGAGAAAATAGGAGAGGCAAGCCCCCTCATTAATATCGGCTTTGATTGGCTACAGAAACACGCCAATAGCCTTGTTTCACAGTAAATATGCGTTCAAATTCAAAACCATTCTTTGATTATTGGCTATAAAATCATTTTGCCTTGTACTTGCTAATTCTGAGTCGAGAATGCTATTAAGAGTTCATTTTCTTGTATCTATGTGGTATTCTACTAGGTGTAGTGTAGAATGGGCAAGTGGATGCATTTTTATTATATATTTATTATTATTATTTCATAATTAGGTAAAGCGTTTTTTAGGAAGAAGGGATGGATAGGGATGGCAATTTGTTGCCTAATCTGAGTGTGTCATTATCATTATTATTATTATTATTTGATAACCAAGACCCAATCCTAGTTAGGGCCCTTTGGATTTGCAATGATATATGCAACCACTCGCTAGCCTTGACACTACCCAATTTTTATTTAAATAAATGCAGAAATTTATTCAAAGTGTTTGGGGTTTTACATATTGAATGCCATGAAATTAGAGGGGGGAAAAGAGAGTTAGTTATTCCTATTCCCACTTTATTATAAATACAATCTAAAATTTGGCTTTAGTGTTTAAATTTATACATGACACGAATCTCCATGCATATTAGAATATACATTTTGGAGTGTATTTATAAAAAAGTGGTGAAAAAATTTGCAAATGTTATTGTCTATGAAGCACGGATACTTCAAATAGGGTTACATATCCATATCGTATCCTCCTTGGATACTTGTGGATATATGTCGGATACTTATTAAAAATATTGGATACTTCTTAATTAATTTTTCATTAATTGTGGAGTATCAGATACTTAATTTTGAAGTATTGGATATTCTAAGTCATATATTACTTGTTTTACGAAATTAAAATTGTAGCATTTCTTGCATGGTATTATAATATAATATAATTGCAATGATAAATGTAAGAATATTTTTTTAATATTTTGTTTAGTTCTTTGATAAGAAGAACATAGTGAATTAAATAATAAAATTTGTCATATTGATGTATCTTAATTGTTTCATGCATGTCCCTTATAACTACATAGAAAATAAGGATTAATAAGAGAATATAATAATATTAAATAAATAAGCAAGTAAACTTGAATATAATATTTTTTACTAGTGCCAAAAGGAAAAGCAGAGGGATAAGTTGTGAATTGTTCTATTATTGTAATATAAACATATTGGACTTGATATTAAAATGAAATATTTGCAAGACCTATTGAAAATTTAAAAAGTAAACAAGCTTACTGGCTTAAATTAATAGCTAATTTTTAAAGGTTAGTATTTTGCATTATAAAATTATATTGTGATTTCTTAATATTCTTTAGCTTATGTGTTACTAATTTTTAATAATTTCAAAATATATATTTTTCACGAATGTTTCCTAGCCATATTTGTATCCTATTTTATTTTTGTCGTATCGTCATATCCATATTGTATCATATCGTATCGTATCCATACCTTATATCCATATCCATACTTCCTAAGTTACTGTCATTGATTCTACCTCTTCGCAACTTTTGTTTTTAGAAATTATATGTAATTTGACCATTTTGAATTACTTTTGTCGATGTGAATGAAAATATATAAAATTACAATGTATTATGTGAAACTTGATTTTGAAAGGTTGTGTAGAACTTAAGTATGACATAATGACATCGACGGTACTTATTGAATGACCCCATTGGTTTAAATCCCTGGCTACGCTTGTTGGCAAATAAATTGCAACCAAGTTTCAAATACGGTCAATCAGTTAATGACACACATAGAGCCTATAATAGGTTTGTTATAGGTAATCACTTCTTAAAATGATCAACTTGGTCTGTTGGAGTGCATAAATAAAACGACGTCATATCTCAGTGATGTTATTTAAGATATTCAAATGACACGTGAAGCTTACAAAAGATGACACTTGTAGAGCCTACAACAAAGACACCACACATGATGAAATCCAAAAGAGCAAGACAATTAATCAGATATGATTATGCCCAAATTCAGATGGTGCTATCATTCAAAATTCAAATGGCGTTATCATTTAATTTGAAATTCGAAATTCAAATTGAGGATGAAGCCATCTTGTCACCTAGATGACCCTCTATAAATATGAGGGATCACCACACAAAAAGGGAGAAAAATCAGAAATTACAAGATCAGAGAGAAAGAAAGAAATTAAGAGCTAAAGAAGTCATTACAAAAAAGAAAAAGTCAAGAGCTTACACTACACTTCAAGCATCCAATACGATGGCGAGCGTTAGGTAAATAGTTCCAAACCTAACTATTGTATTTTGTACCTGAGGGTTCTAAATCCCTACTACAATTTCAATAAATTTTTTTTTTCTTAATTTGTCTTCTATTCATTATTTTTTTGTTCTTTATTAACTGGAGGTTTCATTTAAATAAAATGTGTAATTAACGATCTGAAACGCAGATCGGAAATAGGAACTTGTTATTCAAATAATGAACACTATTTAGTTCGAAACTAAATAGTGACCATTTGTAACATGAATTTTGAAATGTGTTGAAACACTTTATGTTTTAAAATTTGTGTTTACAAATTCTGGCACTCCCAATGGGACCTATAGGTCCCATTGGGAGTGCCAGAATTTATCCAAAAACTAAATAGAATTTGGTCCCTCTCGAGGGGCTTTGGAGCGAGTGCTCTTAATTGTCCCAAAGGTAGAACCAGTGAAATCCTAGAAAGATGCACTTCTTTCCCCAGCACTTGTTGCCCAAGGGGCTCTGGAGCGAATGCTCTTGGCTGTCCCAAAGGTAATTGGTGTCACGAAGAAGGTCACACTTCTCCAGAAAGCTGAAAATGAAAAAGATTACTGAAGATTATGTGAAGGCGTTGAAGCGATACACAACGGTGAGGTCCATAGCTCGAACGAAGAGCTTTCTAATCCAGGCAAGGGAGGCTAATCGAGTTGTAACTACAGCCTTTGTTGCAGCTTCAACAGGCATAACACAAAATGTTGTGGCCTAGCTACTCACAAGAGTAGAAGACTGTGTCAAAATGGCATAGTTTACCCAGAGGAAGGCCTCTGCTAAAAACATGGCCATCATCAGGGCCATTGGAAGGAGGGTAATGACTCAAACTCCTGTTGATGGAAAAACAACCGCCTTTGTTGATAAAAAAAAACAACTACGGTCTACGAACCAGCAGCTCTGTTCAAAGCACAAAGTTTGCCTATTCAGAACCCAATCATTTCTGAGGGCCCAAATCAAAAAAAGGAGCACCCGTTGGCCCAACGGGGTTCAAATCAACATCAATTGGAGGAATTTGCAAAAACGCAAACGACTCCTTATATGCCCCTAGGGGCTTGACTTGATATGTCATCAGATGGTCTAGTTTCTAAAAGACAAAGGCGAAGGAAGAATAAGGCCTCAAAGAAACTGGAACGAAGAACAATGGCGAAAAATGTTATAGGAGTTGTTGAAAAGGCTCTCTTGGGAAATGAATGCCAAAAACAAATTGAAAGTCCTATCTTCACACTAGGAAGAACTGTGGAATCGGACTCGACTGGAAAGTCAAGCCTCTCAAAGGCAGAGGGTAAACCACCCTTGGAAAATATTTTTGCCTTGATCCAACTATCTATGGAGGGAATAAGAAAAGGGCCTATCTCAGAACAAAGCATCGCAGTCAGATACTTCAAATGTAAGTAATGTTGTAGGGATTGATAATCCTTTATACGAACAAGATGATTCTGTCTCATATATTTCAACAAATATTGAAAACGATGATTTGAGAGATGTCAACAAAGTTGTTGCAGTGATGATGACTGATGTTGAAAAGGAAGGCGAAAATTCGTAGGTCCAATAGGACCAACTGGGTCTCAACGAAAAAGTGGTGGCCCTACAAGAACAACTTGAGAGAAGAAAACAAGAAATGGCTGCTATGTTGGAGCAAATACAACAGTTGTAGGCCCAAATGACAAGAATAGAAAGTGCACCCAAATAAATGGCACAACCTGTAGTGGGGACATGTGCAGGCATACAAAGCACACTAGCTTTAGGGGGCAATGGTCCTTGCTACTCTGATCTAACCAGTAGTGGTATGAATCCAATGCTCCTAGCCATAATTGATGGTATGGTAAGGAAACTAGTAAAGAAAGTTAAGGAGATAGATGATGAGAACTTTTGAGTAATTATAAAGCCTTACCCAGCATGAGAAGATGCTGTTCCATTTTCTTCTGGTTTTTCCCAACTAGATTTCAAAATGTTTGATGGGACAAGAGATTCAGGACAACATGTGGCTCACTTTCCTTCAAGATGCGGGCCAATAGCCCCGAATGAGGCTCTTTGCCTACAGCTATTTGTCCAATCACTTGAAAGTTCTGCATTTACATGGTACGCTACCCTTCCTGAGGGATCAATCCAAAATTGGGATTCCATGGTGAAGGAGTTCCTTAAACAATTCTGCAACACGCAAAGGCGAGTTGGAGTACCAGAACTAATTGAAACCAAACAACATGACAATGAACCTGTTACAGATTTCATTGCAAGGTGGCGAGCTTTGACATTTGTCTGCCCTCAAAAGTTCATGCAATTAGAGTTAATTCGGATGTGCCTTAACAACTTTCGACATGAGCTCTCTAGGGCTCTTATGGCTAAAACTTTTGAAGGATTCAACGATCTATGCACTAAAGCTCATGATATAGAGCTGCATTTGGCTAAACGAAGGAGGTCTATGGCGGTTGAAAGGGTTGAGTCCTTAACCGTAGCCATAGTTGAAACCATAAAGAAGGGTCTTGTTGTAGTTGGGGTTAAAAAGCCCAAGGAATTCGAAAAGGTGACTATGAAAGAAGGTTGGAAAAAAATTATTCTTTCCCTGATGATCTGATTGAAGATTTGTTTGAAGATATGTTGGAGCAAAAGTCCATTGCTCTCCTTGATGTGAAAAGATCACGTGAGGTAAGAAAAACGAACGATCCAAAGTATTGCCCCTACTATTGTTTGATTAGCCATTCGATAAAGGAGTTTTTTTTTTAGAAAGATAAAATTCAAGAGTTTCTAGACTATTGAGCTCCCTCCTCAAGAGAAAGCATTTGCTAACCCAATCATTGTCGACAATGATAATGAAGGTGAATGAGTCATTTATCAATGAAAAAGCATAAGGAAAAAGCGAAATGTGGTTATGTTATAACAAGGACCAAAAATTTCGAAGAAGCAAAAACCAAAAGTTTCTAAGAAACAGAAAAAGGCTAAAGTAAGTAAGAGAAAAGGAAAGGACCTAAAGAAGGAAAAATG